ATTTAGCCAAGTGCACAGCCACATACCCTTTGTCTCTTCTGCCCCAGCGTCGCCCGCGCCCTCTTCCCCTTCCTCCGCTTCCTCTGCTTCGCCCTTTTCCAATTCCCAATTTCCAATTCAAATGCAAAACTTTATTTATGAACCGGCAATCGTCAAGCGGCTGACATTTTTATTATCAGCGGGAAGCGCGCGCGCCCAAAACCCGAGCCAGCTGTTGGCCACTTTAGCCCTTGTTGGCCAACACAGCAGACGTTCCCCTAGCCTCGCCTCCATCGATAGCCGGACTAGCCAAGCGTCGCGGACGGCCGCGTTGACAAGCTCAATTTCCAATCGCAATAAAACGCAGCACTCGAAAAAAGATAAATGTGAGAAAAATGCAGAGGCCTCGCTGCGTCCAGTTCTCAACTCCCCCTTGCCCCAGCCCAGCTTGAGCCCTGCCACTTCCGTCTTGATCGCCGTTTACCTCTTACGTTCGTTCGTCTTTATGCAACTCCGTCGCTAAATCGCGTGGGCTTATCCTCGGCACCAGACGAAACCAGACCAGACCAGGCCAGGAGAGGAACCTGCCAACGCGTCTGCTGCGTCTGCGTTTGGTCCGCTTCAAGTGCTGAAATTTATAGTGGTAATAAAATTTTATTTGCTCCTTTAGCTGATGGCACAATAAACTCTTCTGGCATTCGGCCTGCGCACGTGCTTCAACTTGCCAGTTTCTGTTTTTTATGTCCTCTTATTTAACTACTTACAAGTTGTTTGTCTCTGCTAACATTTTGGGCAATATTTCAAGGACATTTGCTTAGCGTTTATTGATAGTTAAGATAAATGTTGGGTCAACCCTAAAGATGTGTTAATTTTAAAGGAAATCAGCACTGAAATTTATTACTATTTAAAGCTAAAAATATGTTTATTATGATTGTAAAATGTGTTGCGTGTAAATAGAAAGAAGGATGGCGAATAAATTGTTTCTATATCTGACTTTGAAACTATTTTTTCTGCTTGTGAGCATAGCACCTTTCTTTGCGATTCTCATATTTGTTTTCAGAAGCACATGTATGTTTATTTATCTTTTAAATACAGTTCTGTTGTTTTGTAATTGCTGATATGCCAGTAACTCTATAGTTCGCACTATTTGCCGCTTTTACTGATTTTTTATGATTTTACCTGCGTGTTTTACCAATGTCTTACTTTATGTCACAGTTTCGACTTGTCCGTTTCTTCTACATTCTCAAGAAATTTGCCTTGCCTATTTTGTAAATATCTTACATCCATATATAAATAACAAAAATGTAATTTTTCCTAATAATAAATATTGAAAGATTTTAGTAAATATACATATGCATTAATCCACTAATTATTATTAAGCAGGCTTGCTTTCAAAAAAACCCTTCCCATTCAGATAAGTTATACCCCTTCATATCTGCCAGAGCAAGTGCTCAACAAAGAGTTAACGTACTAATCCGTAATCGTGGAGGATCTTTCCCAAAGCTCTGTATTAGTTAGCCAAGCCAATTATTTATTATTTAAATAAAATGCTAAACAGCAACTTAAGCAACTAGCGCAGCCGAGCAGAACGCATTCAGTTTGGCTTAATTGAGAGACCTCCGTGTACGTCTCAAGTCCCCTCTCTCGTAACTCTCACTAACTACCTTTTGTGAGTAAACCGTTACCTTGATTCATGGCAGCCCTCTCTCTGTCTCTCTGTCTCACTCTAACTGTCTAAAGATGCCGACAACAACAACAACTATAACAGCAGCAGCAAATAACAAAGGCAAACGTTGACGGGCGACGCCTTCGCATGGCCGCTATGCAAAACTATGAAGAAGAGGCAGCGACGGCGACGGCGACACCGACACCGACACCGACGCAATCGTAAATCAAAATGGCTGCAGCTGATGGCTGAAGAATGAAATCATTCATTTTCATTCCATTCCATCATGAGAGAGCGCATGCGTGTGAGTGAATCGGTTTCGGCATCGTGTTGATGCCTGTGTCTGCACGTGCTTACATGCATGTGTGTGTGTGTGTGTGTGCTGATTAACTGCATTGCTGAGCTCTTGTTATTGTTGTTGTTTGTCGCCTTTGATGGATTGGCTGCCATATGTGTGCTGCATTAGGCTGCTGCTGTTCTTGTTGTTGTCGTTGTTGTTCGTTTGTTCAGGTCTCAAATCAGCTGTAGGGGGGCTACCGTTGTCGTTGACAACTTAAACAGGTAACGGGACTGCCCATATGCCATGCGCAATCACGTTTAGTTGTGTGAGTGGGTTTGTGTGTGCGAAAGTGGGCTGGGCTTGAAACTATGGTTGCTGTCTTGGCTAATTGCATGAGTGATTGCACAGTGGTTAGCAGCTTGTAAAAACTGCTGATAACTTTTGAAAGGATTAGTAAGATATTATTAAATAAAAATAAACCAAGCCAAAAGCCAGACATATTGGTCTACGCTGTGTGTATTTAGCATAGGTGTCATGCATGTGCACTCCGAACTCTGGAAAAGTATCTCATAAATAACTTCTGTATAAAGTCTACTATACATTTGTATATTACTTTATTGAATTTCTTTATGTAAACTAATTTCGGTATCGAAGTACACAGTAAATGTTACTTTCCATCAAAATGCACAGAGTATATTGAATTCTTTCACTCAGATTGCAGTTATCACTCAGACTCAGTTATCAGTAATTAAAATAATTGACTGATAATATTAATTCTTAAATTAATTTGATGTGTTGGCATCCTCTTCTCGCGCTATATTAACATTGCACTCAGCTGACTGTCACCCGCCACATTTCATTCATAATATGAAAGAGGGCGCCACCTGTCAGTCAACTAAAAGCGACATCTGTCAATATTGGCCTAAGCAGCTACACCGTACGACCGCTAGAGGGCAGAAACCAACATGCCTAAGAGTATGCAATAGAAAATGCGCACGCGAATCGCATTTGTGTTGCTTACGCAAATGGCTTAATATTTAATAAAGAATTTATTTTGATATGATATAAATTGGATAATGAGTCCAATTGAATTTCAATACAATCATTTCTTTCAATCCAAATTGTAGATCAAGAAATAATTACAGTTTTTCTGGGCATTTTTATTCTCTGTAGCAAATATTTTATTGCAAATCAAATTTTAACATTTGTTCGCCTGAATAAATCACATCAGACAAACATAAATCATAAAGTAAACACACACACACACACACACTCACACCCACTTACGGTATAACAATAAGTGGCATAGTACAGCAACAACAACAACAACAATCTCCACACAAAACACACATCAGACATTATTATCATCTCGCTTGTGCTTGACTGAGTTTCTTCGCCCCAAGCCCCAGGCCCGCGCTTCCATCGCGTCAAACCGTCACGGCCAAGGCTGCCGTGTCCCCTCCGCCTGCTCCCCATCCTCCCGAAGCACATGTCTGATAACCACCTATATATATATATCGTACACTCGCTTATGGGCAGCTCTATAGGCAGAGCGAGCCACCGATTTGGCCGTATCCGTTCGTAGTTGGTTGGCTGTTTGCCCTTTGCGCGCCCTGCGCAGCTTCCTTCCGCCCGGCATTGTCCTTGCGCGCCGAGCGCGTCCTCCTCGGCCACCGTCAGCGGGAAATGTGTAATTGAAAGGGAAGCTTTGGCTTTGGCGGCTGCGGCGCAAGAAATTATTTCGTTAACAAAAGCGAAACAGCGGAGAATGGGCGAATGGCAGAATGAACGGTTAGCAGAAGGAGCAACAGAAGCAGACAATACAAATACATTCGCCGGGGAATGTCGGTACTCAAGCGAGGGGGAAGGGGGGACAGAAATATGCAAGCATCGCTTGTCGCTAAAATATTTTAAAGTTTTACCGTTTTCTCTCCCGTTTTGCGTTTCGGCCATTTCGCAAAGTTGCAAAAGTTTCATTTCCGACAACAAGTTACCGTTAGTTAGTTTTTCGGCAGGGCTGTCACCACCATCAGCATAGGAGGAAGAGCGAGCGGGAAAGAGAGAGAGAGAGAGAGAGAGAGAGAGAGAGAGAGAGCAAGCTGCATGCATATATGCATGGCATGTAACGTGTGTCTCTGTCTATCTATCTGCCTGCCTGCCGTCTGTATGTGTGTGCGTGTGTGTGTGTGTGTGTGTTTGTCTGTCTCTGTCTGTCTGCATTGTTCGAGTTTTGATTTATGAGGTCAGAGACTCGTGATAATGAGCCAGGAAATTAAATCACTTTGACCGGAAGGATGTCAGGTCAAAGGGGGGATAACACAATTGATTTCATATTCATAAATTCAACGAATGTTGCCAGCTTGTCAGCCAGCCAATGAATGACATTACAGTTAGACTGCCGAAAGAATTGTCAATAGCTCTAAAAAGCTTATAAACACGAATACAAAAATCTAGTAAAATCTTACTGTTTTTTTTACTGTTTTTCTCTGGACCTTAATTTAATTTTTTTTAAAACCCTTTTTAATATATAGTAAACACTGATATGAAAGCGCTTTCCAACACTGCCAGAACTTTATCTTGAATTTAACAGTTTTCTGTCAGTAAAACTTAGTTGGTTTTAAAGATCTAAACTCAACTGTATTTTTGATTTATGTTTAGATTAAATGTATATAGGTATAGTCTATACAAATTTGTTTAATAATAAAATGTCGCATTAATTTCGATATTCAAATTACTTTCATGAGCGCATTGCATTTTGTCTCGACCATCTCTCTCTTTCCCTCTCTCCCTCTGTCCCGCCCTGGGACAGCTTTCGCTCCAACTCTATTTATCTCTTTTGATGTCCCGCTCTTACTCGATTCAGATAGCTCCGATCTTTTTCAAGAACTTGCCAAAGCGTGGCATAAACAATTTATCAGAGGGCAGAGCCCAATGAGCGCATAGCACATGTTTTTCCAAGCTCAAAGCACATGTTTCTGACAAGTTTCGAGCGGCACTTTGAATAGAAACCTTGTGCGAAGAACAACGAGTAAATCGAACACTTAAACAACAATTCTTTCATTTGTTTATTTGCAGAGTTTCAAAATCAAAATTGAAAATACCAACTAGAGGTTAAGGCTACTTAAGGATTTAGGCAACAGCAATTACAACACCAACGGATTTTCTACCAAATTAAGAGGAGGCAAGGAGCCTACACAGCAAACAGAGGAACAGAGGAACAGCAGAACGCGAATCAAGTTATACCTCACACAAAAAGCGCACCCCTTACACACACACACACACACACCCACACACATCTAGACAACTAAGTTTAAGGCGCAACTGTACATTGTACTTAAGTGTTCAAAGGATATTTAGGTGAGTCCTTGGCATAGCTCTGGTTAAAATATTCGACTTATGAATGCCCTTGCAGTTTACTTTGTATATAGGAAAGTAGCTAAAAGCACACGGAGTCGAGTCACAGTCACTAGCAACTAAGTAACCAGGCGCTATCCACAGTAAAATTAACAGTAACAGTAACAGTAACAGTAACGGAAACGGTAACGGAAACGGAATCGGTAGGAGTAACTGCGTAAGTAACAGTTAAAGGAACGGTAACAGTCAGGAGACAAGGAGAAGAACAAAAATGACGATGAGTACAAATAACTGCGAAAGCATGACGTCATATTTCACAAACTCGTATATGGGAGCGGACATGCACCATGGCCACTATCCGGGCAACGGCGTCACCGATCTCGATGCGCAGCAGATGCATCACTATAGCCAGAATCCAAATCAGCAGGGCAACATGCCCTACCCGCGCTTCCCGCCCTATGACCGTATGCCCTACTACAATGGCCAGGGCATGGACCAGCAGCAGCAGCAGCACCAGGGCTACTCGCGCCCCGACAGCCCCTCCAGCCAGGTGGGTGGCGTGATGCCGCAGGCGCAAACAAATGGCCAGCTGGTGTCCGTTGCCCAACAACAGCAGCAGACACAGCAGCAGCAACAGGCGCAAACACAGCAACAGCAGGCGCAGCAGGCGCCGCTGCAGCAGCAGCAGCATCCTCAGGTGACGCAACAGGTGACACATCCGCAGCAGCAACAGCCCGTGGTCTATGCCAGCTGCAAGCTGCAGGCGGCCGTTGGCGGCCTGGGCATGGTGCAAGAGGGAGGCTCCCCGCCGCTGGTCGACCAAATGGGCGGGCATCACATGAATGCACAGATGACACTGCCCCATCACATGGGTCATCCGCAGGCACAGGTAAGCTAATGGGCTCATTAGAGGTATAGAGGGTAATTCGTTCACACACCCAAAACATATAACATCCTAATCTTGGCGTCCGCTTATGACATACTAAACGCTTCTTCTATCTTTCCTGCCTCCGCTCTCCAGCTGGGCTACACTGACGTTGGCGTTCCCGATGTGACAGAGGTAAGAACCGGATGCGGTGTAGTTCTTTATGCTTTTGCTTAGTTATTCTTCATTTTTGGTGTTGACTTCCAAGCTTAAGTTAAGCGATACTTATCCAGTTTTTGGGCTTATCCATTCGCAGGTGCATCAGAACCATCACAACATGGGCATGTACGGGCAACAGCAGACGGGTGTGCCGCCCGTGGTCGCACCACCGCAAGCGATGATGCATCCGGGTGCTGGACAGGGACCCCCACAGATGCATCAAGGACATCCCGGACAACATACACCGCCATCCCAAAATCCGAGTTCGCAATCCTCAGGGATGCCGTCTCCACTGTATCCCTGGATGCGAAGTCAGTTTGGTAAGTGTCAAGGAAAGTGATCGACAATTCCACGAAACGTATTAAGTGGAATTTTTCTTCTTCTTATAGTAGTGGGTTGCTGTAGTTAGTCATTGAATGTAGTTTAACTAGTCGTAGTAGTTGCATACAACAAAAACAACAACATTTTAAACTATTTTTGATAATTAACAACAAACAATTGAATATATTTCAAACTTTACTTAAATGATAAAATTTCAGGAATTTATTTTGCCCCTACCAAAGGCTCTTTCATTTAATACACACCAATGACACTGGTCGAAACTGGCGTGCAATATTAAATGACAGTTGCTGTGGCGATCTTTTCGTTAAATTGCACTGTGCACACTGCTTGCTGAAGTGGTTGTGACTGCTTCAACAAGCAGTGAACAGTGTTTGACATTTCGTTAAACTGCACTGCTTTAACGTTATATGTTAGCAAAAATCATTTAAAATGCCTGGGAAATGGCTTAAAATTGTTAGAATAATATTACAAGCTTTAATTAAAATTAAAATAGACGTTATCTTAACAAAAGGCAAATTTAATTAAATGCTTGTCTAATTTAATATCGTTGCAGCATCTGTCTGTAACAGACATATTAATAATTAAATAAAACAGAAAAGGTAGCCAGAAGTTTAAGGAATGATAGCCCAAAATATTTAATTTTAAATATATAAAATATTTAAAAATTCAATTCAATTTCGTTTGCCATAAGATATATGCCATTTACAAAACTGTATATAGAAGCAACATTTGTAGGCGAAGTCCTAAGACCCAAGTATTTGCTGACCTTGACACGTCCGAGTAATTTCACTTTATTGCCTTGGCCAATCGGTCGCATTAGGCGTAATCCATCTGCAATGAGCACAAATACACCGCACCGATACCTGACATTTTGCCAAATTTTGCAAATTTCCGAAAACGAAATCGATGAATGCACTGGCAAAAACGCCAGGATATCGCAAAGGGCTGCTGACAAATGTCACGCAGTGTGAAAGAGGTCGAAAGAGGTACAAACATGGGTCAGAGTCCGACTTCGACTCATCACAGAAGGCGGTCTGTTAAATAATGCAAATTGACAATAGTTTTGAAAACGAAAGCGAAAAGGTTGCAAAATCGGAGCGTAACTAATCCACAGACAATTTCCGTAAAAGGCTCGTCCCATGTGAATCCGAGACAGAATTGAAAACAGAAATAGGGATCGGCACGGGCTGGCTAGCAGTTGCCCGCGTTGCATAAGTGGGCGAGGCACATTTCAAGCCAGCTGGGCCTGGCAATCCAAGTGAAGAAGTTCCATTTCATTTTCAAGCGGGTGAAAGTGAAGAGAGAGCTCAAGTGCTGCTCGGCTCCAAGCACTTCCCTTTATCCTGGCCACGTCGTCGGTCATTACTAAATCGCCGCCGAGTTGTTGTTTGCCCACATCGGGGCTCAGGCTCAGCTTTTTTCTTTGCTGTCGCTTGTGCTCTTTTATTTTTCTGCCTTAGCCAGATTGAGATGTAAAGCAGAATTGATGAGCGCCATTAGTTACACGTTATGTGCAATGGATGCCATCAATTTATTAATCTCCAGAACACGCCGCGGCCGCTGCGCGCCATGCTCCCCCATGAATGGGTCCGACCTGGGTCCGGCGGACGGCATTGGACCTGGCCAAACACTTCGTCGTCTTAATCCCGCCGCCTGCACCTACACATCCCCCTTGTGACACCGCCGCAACGTGCAGCGTGCAAAAAAAAAAAATATTAAAAAAAAAGACTGCAAAAAAATTGTGCGCCTACAACAAAAAGCAAAGCCAACCAGCCCGCTGCGGTGACATGAAGTTTTCTTCTTTTTCATCTTCTTAGTTTTTTTTTTTTATTTATTAAAAAATGAAGGAGCGACACAGAAACAGAGACAACGCCAACCGCCGAGTCAAAGCTGAGAACCGAGTCTTGGGCGCGCACAAGAAGCCAGAGTCAGAGCTCGAACGGCGTCTCCCGCGGAGGGTGCGGCCCGTGGTCAGAGTGAGACTTGGACCTGGGGACTCGGTGTCGGAGTTGAAGTCGGAGTCGGAGCACTCTGGCTGTGGCACAACATGATCTCGAGCTTAAGTTACGATGATTAAATGCATACGAGTTTATTTTTGCTTAGGCTTTGCATTCAGTTTTTCTTATTGTGCAAGCAATAAAAATAGTCGACACAGTGGGTTGAAAATTAAAAAATAGCTTAGCTCGATTTAAACGATTGACAACTTAATCGAAATTCAGCTAACTGCAGATGTAAAATGAGTCGAGCCTTGTTTAATATATTAGAAGACCAGTTGAAAATACACTAAATAAAAGACGGACCCAGAAAAGCGAGCAGGTCGTCTTTATAGATACTTCAAGAACCTCCCAATTTACTATTAAGAGCAGACTTTGCTACCGACTCTAGAGACTCTTGGGAGTTATAGGCAACGAAAGATGTAATGCAATAAAATAAATTATTAGTTCGGCTTGCAAGAGTGTTTGCAGGAGTAATTGCTTTAATAATAAAGCCAATATATCGACAGGAAATACTTATCAAAATAAGTCTATCAACTTTGTTCATCATATGTATAGTATCTCATACCGCAATAGATGCCTTGTCCAAGTGATCGACTCGGCTTAAGGTAATTCAAAGATAAAAGATCCGGGTTTCGAATTCCAGCCTGAATAATATTAAGGTCAAAGTTTTCAACTCTTTTTATAATACTAATAATCTGTCTCGAACTATTTCCAGTTGTAGCTAAGCCAACTCCACTGTGGCTGCTTTGTAACTACTTAACGCCTCGTCATATTTCACGCGGGCATTAGGCAAATAACTAAGGAGAGCCGATCGTGACTGGCGTCCTAGAAGATTCACAATTCAGAGCTGAGAGCTCCGATTCATGGTCGTCCCCTCAAAGCGAGGCAGTGCGAGGCATTGTCGCTGTAACAAAGCGCGGTTTCAATTAAGTTGTAACTCATGAGCACAAAAAAGGGAAAACAAGCTGACTGTCGGAAAGGGCTCAGTCAGCAACAGTCCTCCATGCCCCAGACCAGAGAGTCCAAGTTCAAGTCCAAGAGCAGCGCTTCCCAGGCTTTTGGCTGGGTAGCTCTCGTGTTGGCTGCGTTTATGTTGTTTTGATGCTGCTTATTGGAGAGTTGGCAGTTTTAAGTTAGTTTTTGATAATTTGCTCATAAGCAGCACTAACTTGCGGCCTGTGCCTGCCACTTGCCACATGCCCAGCCACATCCAGCCACATCCCTTATCCGCTGCTGCCTGCTGCTGCCTTTGTCGCTCGCCGTTGGGTCATAAATTTAAGCGACAGTCAACAAATATGTGCAACAAGTGGCTATTGGCTAGAACCTGAACCAAGCATCCAAACGGCAAAAGCTGCCAGCGCATCCTCTGCTCCGACTGTCCGTTTATTTATTTGTGAAACGAAAGAATTTCATATTTGACCTTGTTGCGCCACGTTGCTTATCTAAATGTGTGTAAATATCCACAGACTCGGGCACTTTGGCGTTGTTTAGTTTTTGGTGCTAACAGATTGCACTGCAGCTGGCCAAGTGATTGGCTACAATATTGAGGGAGGATGAAATGAAAGCAAAAGAGTTTTTCAATTTTGGGCTAAGGGCTTCATCTAAGCATTAAATTTCTGCAAAGTACGTATAATTAAGAAAGGCTTCCTTCGGCACGCCGAAGAATAATTTATAATATATTTGTGCGATATTAATGGGATTTGCATAATATTTAAGCAGCATAGTTCATGTCGATATATTGGGTGGACATATTCTGTCAAGTTAATATAAATTCGGTACACCCATTCGCCCTCTCATGTTTATCTGACGGTCGCTGTCCACCCGAGAGGGATTTTACTGTACATTTTTATATACTACATTTAAGCTCTCCATTATACATCATGCATATCAAATTTAACTCTAGAGAAAATCTCCTTGGTACAATCGCCCATCTATTTATCGTGTATTTATTTAAGAGAACCAATTGGTATACGAAGAATTTCTGTGGCTCATCTGTATGCCAGCTCGTTTGGCTCGTTTGAGGCGTTCGTGTGGCAAACAACTTTTCAATTCTTTCGAGTATGAAAAGTGCACTTCATTGTGCGCATTATGTGCGACAGCTCCCAATCCCCCATTACCAGCCCCGACACCGCGGCCTTGGAGCCCCGTCAGTGTCAGAGGGCGCAGGCACGATGAAAAGAACTTCTCGCCAAAAAGTTGCACATTGGATGTCGACCCCGCCCCGTGCGCATTGTCTGTAGTCTGTTGCAAAAGTTTTTTACGGTTCTCCACGGCTGCTACGTAAAACGTTGATCCCCGGCCATCATCCGCTGGCAGCGAGTGGCCCCCATCCGCCCGCACTTGGCGCTGGCTTTGCAAAGTTTTGCCGCGCTGCTTCCCGGCGACTTTGTTGTCTGTTGGCGCTGCACTTAATGTGCCCGGGCAAAGTCGCGTCGCGTCGAGTCGAGTCGAGTCCTGGCCGGAGCCGGAGCCGGAGTTTTGCTAAGTTGAGGATTTGCGCGCAAACTACTTTTCGATGGCAGCGCGAGACATTTGAGACAACAACTACTTAGGCAGGCGATTGCCCTGGCTTATGGCGCTGTCCACTGGCTGGGTGGCATGCGGCATGTGGCATGTGGCATTGTGTTGACGCATTTGCTGCCAATCCACGAATAGCTGCCACCTTCCGGCGCGCAATTGAAGCGTGCGGATCAAAAGATAATTTGCCAAATGCGTGAAGATTTTTTTAAAAATATAAACCGAAACCACAGCCACGGCTGTCCGGCTGTCCCGGCTGCCCCGGCAGCCCAGCTGCCACCACCGGCAGCTGACACGGACTGTCAAAATGTAAGCGACAACGACAACTGAGCTCCGAGCGAAGCAAAAAAAAAAAATGACACAGGAACTTTTGGGATTTCCATGTGCGGCAAAAAGTTTAATAAAGCGCAGCGAATGCGAAAAGGAAATTTCGCTTTTATACGCCGCTCCCTGCCGCCCCGCCCCTATGTGTTTCT